TCCTTTTTGGGATAGCCTTATAGGATTCTATATATGAACCCCAAAAAGGAACTACTTTGCAGCCTTTGGGTAGAGAGGTTTAGAGCTTGGAAAATGGGGCTCAGAGGATCAGGGCTTCGGGATTTTCGTTTTCGTAGGGCTGACCCGCCGACGCTATGGCTGATCACGAGGCAGCAGCACCAGAACCGTGTAGGGTTTTCAGGTGTATATGGCATAGTGAACTCCGAAATGCAAAGCCTTCCACCCAAGCTGCAATGTTGATGGTCAGTTCGCTCAACTCCATCCCAGACCGACATACCGAAGCAGGTTGCAAGGCAGCTGGATTTTCTCGTCTCGCGATGCATGCAGTAGCTCAGCTCAGTAGGAGAAGTGCAAAACGGTATATGGGACGGACCTTCATTAAACGTTAAAACCCTCAACTCCGTCGGGTCGTCGGCGCTGGTACACATCCAGAGCCCTGCGCCAGGCGCCCGTGCAAAGACGAAGAGATGATGATATGGCCTGTGTTGGGCGGACAGTCGTCATTCAAACGTAAGCAACAGCTCAATCTAAGCGCAATCATTGCGAAGGCAGGTCTGCCAAAATGGAGCCCAAGTTGCTGCGAGGGCAACATTGCGAAGCTGCTGCCCCTATATTGCAGATCAAACAAAGCCGTCAGGCCTGGGATATAGGGTCCATCTTGCGAACCGACTGTGTCTGTGGGCTCGTTTCTGACCCCATGCAACAGGGCGTGCACCCCCAGACGTGCAAATTCAAACAGGTTGGGAAATCAGGATTGCGGCCGCAGATGGCTTCATGTCCGGCAGTCCGCGCACCAGAAAAAAAAACAATGCTCTCTGCAGTTCGGGTGCTGCAATTGGCGAACCGTACGACGGTACTTTAGCGACGAAACGACTATCACCACATCCTTCAAACTCGAGAGAGGCGAGCTATTATGGTAGCTCGCGGCGTATTAACATAGATTGCAGCAGAACATCGCTCTCTGTGGCTCGGAATTACATGTCACGGGCCGTGACTTGGCAAATAAGGACAGCTACAGCAAGTATTTGTAGCTATCGTCTCTGTCGAAATAGTTCTACGGAAACTGCAACCTTATCACTGCACTGAGCACAGAGAGGCGCGCTGCAGGTTGTTTTTGAATAGGCTGCTATCTGCTGCCCGAAGACGCTCCGGAGAAAGACACAATCACTCACAGCACTTCTGGCATCTGGACTTCCCAACCTCTTTAGGGCCTGTGTGCTCCGGCTACCTTAATGACGGGCTGGTGTGTTGCGTAGCGTAGTATTGGTATCCTATACTGGTTAGGCAGCGGTAGCCCTCAGAAACAGCAGGCGCCTGTATGAGGGTCGCCAACTTTTGATTGAAGCTCGCATGAGTACTTAAGCCGGATCGAAGGGCACAACCGTACCAGAACCCTGTCTAAAACTGTCTTACTTGGCCCCATTGGATGCGACCCGCCGCTTCATCCGCTTCCTCACATACTCAAAGGACATGAGCAAGCCCTTCAAGACTGGAGTGACCACATATTCCTACTTGGCAAGATTGGCAGGAACCAAAATGCGGGAAAAAACCTGGGTATGGGTGTCCTCAAGCTACGAAGCTTGTCGCTTTAACGGCATTGGCATCAGTGAATTTCGAAGCTGCAGGATTCTAACACCAATTCCTCAACGCTGAATCCCCCTCCAAATTCGGGGCCTGAAAGCCAAAGATTGCCAGAAGCACCGGGAGAATGTTGATCTACATCCGCCCGTCACAGAAGCTGCAGAAGCTCAGTTCGTCTACAGCACGAGAGATGGTCCCGTTCCGCCATGCCTTTGCAGAACGTGATTCTGAGATGTAGCAATGGCAAGAACACCTGTTTACAACCACAACAAGACAAAGAGGAGATTGAGATAGACAGGAAACGGAGAAGAGAAGACACGGACATCAGGCCAGCAGATGCAAAAGAGATGAAGAGAGACAGAGAGACCATCCTTGTAAGACCGCTGTTTCAAGCCGTCCGCTGAAGCTGCTGCCTGGGAGCGTAACAACAGGAGGAGGGAGCTCCGACTTGATACGATTCACTTCGGCTCGGATTTGCGGAGGTAGCCGTCGCATGCTGCTCTCAACCAGATGCCTTGGCTTGGGACGACGATCTGACGGGTGCCTTCCACAACCTCTCGAAGACTAGCACACAGCCGCCGCATTTATCGTCCCAATTCTGATTTAATTGTGACTTTCTGTCTTGTCATGTTGCCTGCTCTCGGAACAGTATGCGACCTCCATGATACTTCACGTCGTCTGCTAAATCGGGACCCTGCTGATCCTGACGCCTTGGACCAGCTGATCCACAAAACTTAGTGAACCCTAATCAAGCCCGATCAAGGCGCATGAAACACATCCTCATTGGCCGAAACCTTCCCAGGGCAATGGCCTCAGATTGGGTGTCGGGCATTTCCGCAATGAGGAGCTGGAGCAAGTGGTCGACGCGCGGCATGAGGCCTTCCATCGCTGCCTTCTTGAAGATGAAGGGTAGGAAGGTGGCGAGAAGCTCCTGGTCGCTTGCGTCAAGGAGACGCTGTCGTAGCCGACAGTCTGGCTTCGAGATCGCAAGGTGTGGAAAATGGCAGTAAGCGCATGCCGTGCCCGATGGGCACACTCCACCCTTGGAGATGTGCACGCACGGTCTGGTGCAAAAGTGCGGGTGCCCGAAACTGCCGATGCCAAACCGTAGGTTGGCAGTAGTGGGCTTTGGCACTTCTGGAATCTCTAGGCCAGGTGGTGGAGGAATGTTGTGAGTGTTGTGAGGCCCAAAGACAGGGATTGAGATCGTGTGCTCCGGAACTACCGGGGCTGCCATCGGTGGTGCCCATCCCCACGGTTGACCTCGGCAGCATGGTCAGGTTCATCACTGGAGCAGGTTGCACAAGAGCAAAGATTGAAACAGAAACATAAAAACATATGCTCAAAGACCCGGGCACGAGAGGGACCTAGTACGGTCGCCAAAGCTGCAGGCATACATGCCGCCATTAAAGTTGCTTGGAAGGTATTGCAAGCTATGGAATGGATAGGTGTGAGCCCGGGCTTGGATCACGCGGCTCATCGGAAATCTCCACACTTCTGACACGTGGAACATGAGGCCAATTCATGTGTAAGTGCTTGCGATCTGGTTCAAGACTCGTTAGGCTCCATACAGACACTTCGACTCCACAGCTTTTTGTTGCTAATCTGCGTGACCTTAGGGAGCAGGGCTAAAACTCAAGGTCCCCAGCCGCAATATCTAGTGTAATAGGTGCGAGAGGATGTAAGTATGATAATTAGTGCCTTCCGTGACAGGAGGCTGCTTCAGGGAATGCAAGACTGCCCGCAGAAACAGGAAAGACTGAATCTTAAACCCCAGAATTTCACACCTAAACGCTGCACCCACCAGCTCCAAAATTGTAGGTTTTGGGTGCAGGGCTTAGGTATCATTAACCTGAAACCCAGAAGCTTGCATCATACTGCAGCAGGTGGCGCGGCAGCCGGATTTTCTCGTCTCGCGATGCATGCAGTAGCTCAGTAGGAGAAGTACAAAACGGTAAATGGGACAGACCTTCATTAAACGTTAAAACCCTCAACTCCGTCGGGTCGTCGGCGCCTGGTGCACATCCAGAGCCCTGCGCCATGCGCCCGTGCAAAGACGAAGAGATGATGAGATGGCCTGTGTTGGGCGGACAGTCGTCATTCAAACGTAAGCAACAGCTCAATCTAAGCGCAATCAGTGCGATGGCAGGTCTGCCAAAATGGACCCCAAGTTGCTGCGAGGGCAACATTGCGAAGCAGCTGCCCCTATATTGCAGATCAAACAAAGCCGTGAGGCCTGGGATATAGGGTCCATCTTGCGAACCGACTGTGTCTGTGGGCTCGTTTCTGACCCCATGCAACAGGGCGTGCACCCCCAGACGTGCAAATTCAAACAGGTTGGGAAATCAGGATTGCGGCCGCAGATGGCTTCATGTCCGGCAGTCCGCGCACCAGACAAAAAACAATGCTCTCGGCAGTTCGGGTGCTGCAGTTGGCAAACCGTACGACGGTACTTTAGCCACGAAACAACTATCACCACATCCTTCAAACTCGAAAGAATCGAGCTACTATGGTAGCTCGTGGCGTATTAACATAGATTGCCGCAGAACATCGCTCTCTGAGGCTCGGATTCCACAGAGAACTCCTGAAGATTAGATGTCATGGGCCGTGACTTGGCGAACCATGACAGCTACATCAAGTACTCATAGCTACCGTCTCTGTCATTAGAGCTCTACGCAAACTGGAACCAAATAGCTGCACCGAGCACGGGGAGGCGCGCTGCGCGTTGATTTTGAACAGGCTATTTGATGCCCGAAGACGCTCCGGAGAAAGACACAATCACTCACAGCACTTCTGGCATCTAGACTTCCCAACCTCTTTAGGACTCCAGTTACCTTCATGATGGGCTACGGTGTTGCATAGTATAGTACATTATCAGTACCCTTAGTTGTGCAGCGGCAGCCCTGAAAACAGCAGGCGTCTGTATGACGGTCGCCAATTTTGATTGGAGTTCGCATGAATAGTTAATTAGGATCAAAGGGCACAGCCGTATCGCAAATAAATCCTTGATGCGATCGCCTAGAAGTGAAAAATTGGCATAACCTCCATGTCGATGTCATTGCCCTACTTGGCCATTGGATGCGACCAGCCGCCTCGTCTGCTTCCCTTACACATTCAACGAACATAAGCAAGCCCTTCAAGCACCCTGGGACCGGAGTAGCCACATATTGCTACTCGACAAGGTAGGCAGAAACCAACAGGCCGGACAAAAACACCTCAGCTTCAACTGCATCAGAGAATTTCGACGGACCAGGATTGTACAAAGCAGGGGCTACTAATACCAATTCCTCAATGCTGTCCCCCTCCAAAGTCGGCCTGAAAGCCAAAGATTGCCAGAAGCACCGGCAGAATGTTGATCTACATCCGCCCGTCACAGAAGCTGCAGAAGCTCAGTTCGTCTACAGCACGAGAGATGGTCCCGTTCCGCCATGCCTTTGCAGAACGTGATTCTGAGATGTAGCAATGGCAAGAACACCTGTTTACAACCACAACAAGACAAAGAGGAGATTGAGATAGACAGGAAACGGAGAAGAGAAGACACGGACATCATGCCAGCAAATGCAAAAGAGATGAAGAGAGACAGAGAGATCATCCTTGTAAGACCGCTGTGTCAAGCCGTCCGCTGAAGCTGCTGCCTGGGAGCGTAACAACAGGAGGAGGGAGCTCCGACTTGATACGATTCACTTCGGCTCGGATTTGCGGAGGTAGCCGGCGCATGCTGCTCTCAACCAGATGCCTTGGCTTGGGACGACGATCTGACGGGTGCCTTCCACAACCTCTCGAAGACTAGCACACAGCCGCTGCATTTATCGTACCAATTGTGATTTGATTGTGACTTTCTGTCTTGTCATGTTGCCTGCTCTCGGAAACCTTCTTGATACTTCACGTTGTCTGCTAAATCCGGGCCCTGCTGATCCTGAAGCCTTGTACCAGCTGATCCACAAAACTTACTAAACCCTAATCAAACCCAGTCAAGGCGCATGAAAGACATCCTCATTGGCCGAAACCTTCCCAGGGCAATGGCCTCAGATTGGGTGTCGTGCATTTCCGCAATGAGGAGCTGGAGCAAGTGGTCGACGCGCGGCGTGAGGCCTTCCATCGCTGCCTTCTTGAAGATGAAGGGCAGGAAGGTGGCGAGAAGCTCCTGGTCGCTTGCGTCAAGGAGACGCTGTCGTAGCCGACAGTCTGGCTTCGACATCTTACGGTGCGGGAAATGGCAGTAACTGCATACCATTCCCGATGGGCACACTCCACCCCTGGAGATGTGCACGCACGGTCTGGTGCAAAAGTGCGGGTGCCCGAAACTGCCGATGCCAAATCGCAGGTTGGCAGTAGTGGGCTCAGGCACTTCTGGAATCTCTAGGCCAGGTGGTGGAGGAATGTTGTGAGTGTTGTGAGGCCAAGAGACTGGGATTGAGATCGTGTGGTAGCGAGGGGTGTGCTCCGGAACTACCGGGGTTGTCATCGGTGGCACCCATCCCCATGATTGACCTCGGCAGCATGCTAATGCTTGGGGTTTCAGGTTCATCACTGACGCGGCTTTCCAGAGAACAATTTGTGAAACATACTCAAAATTCATGTTCCCACAGTCCCGGGCACGAGAGGGACCTAGCACGGTCGCCAAAGCTGCTGGCATACATGCCGCCATTGCTTGGAAGGTATTGCAAGCTTTGGAATGGATAGGTGTGAGCCTGGCTTGGATCACGCGGCTCATCGGAAATCTCCAGACTTCTGACAAGTGGAACATGAGGCCAATGCATGTGTAGGTGCTTGCGATCAGCCCTTAAAGGGGCCCTGGTTCAAGACTCCTGAAGCTCCATACAGCCACTTCGACTCTCCTGCAGTTGAGGCAGCCACGTCCCAGAAGCGGAGAACCGATTTGCCAACCTGTACGAGGGCTCACGGTGCAAGGACAAAATTACGGCTTTTGGAGCTCAGGCTCTTGAGGTCCTCATGATTTAGGGATGTGCGTGGTGACTTTAGGGCTTTGGGGTGCAGGGTTCAGGCTTTCGCAGAAGCGGCTGGGGCTCAGAGCATTCGGGAATCAAATTAAAAAGCGCTGATTGCACGTCGTGCTACTTCTTTCTATCCTAACTCAACTACTTCTCTTCCTGCTCCTCAAGCGAACCATCTGTGTTGTGATCTTGCCTGGGCTCAACCGAGCTTTCAAACAAAACCTTGAAGTCCTTAGTCAGAAAAAGCTAAACCCTCTGCCCAAAGCCCCATGTATAGCCGAAGCCCTATACGATACCAGAATCTCCACACGGTACTATACTATACAGTACTGAACTGCACGAAGCTACGAGTATGGCACTAGTAAATCTGGAAGCTCACGACGTTGACTCAAGCAGCTCAAGCAGAAAGACAGAAAAGCCCAGTCTCAACCAAATGTCTCTACAACTAAACAAACATCGAAAATGCTATTCTAATTATTAAGGCCCCTATATTATAGTAGCCATACAGTAGCCCTTGTATATATAGTAACCCTTATAGACCCCTTTACAAGGAACCTTCTAAGTCAGAATTGATAAACGAGAGCCCTGGACCCACTTTCTTGCATAAGCGCTACAAGCCCGAAGCCCCAAATCTTGAGACCGGAACAACAGCACTTTCAGCCCTAAATACAAAACCCCGAACCCTAAACCCTAAATCCAAAATTTCATCAGTTCTTGTGAACCAGATGACCTCAGAATAGCTATGCCCGAAGATACCGTAAGGCCCAGAGACCCTCAACGCAAAGCACGGGAGAACCCAGCTCCTTTCAAGTACTGGGTAATACCATTTCCTTGTTGCCATGCATCATGGAACTATAGCATAGCCTTTTAAAGCTGTGCCGGCTCATAAGACCCGTCTATAACAACCTCACAAAGCCCTACAAGACCCTTCTAAGGACAAACCCCGTATAGCCCATTTTAAGGACGCTGTCCAAAAGAAATCTAGGTAATTTGCTTCGGCCCCGCTAGAAAGCACCACCTCGATGTTCTGGAGCATTAGCTTCGACACGAAAGGCACGGCCTAGCAGATTGGGGCCAGGTTCGCCGGAAGTATACTAGGTGTCGGTTTCAGCAGTCCCCAAAACTATCTATCTATCTATCTATATATATATATATATACACATAGATAACTGGGGCTCCATACTAAACACATTTTAAAAACTATCGCCGATCGGTACCTGGTGTAAGGTTTGCCTCAAACAAACAAGACACAACTTACACCAAATATTTGTAGGTTCTCATTACACATCGGCCCTGATGTCGAATTTATCGGGACGCTGCAAAATGCAAATCTTCGTAGGGTGAGATAGTGTAGGATTGCTTTAGGGCTTCGGGGTTGGAGGCGGGCCGGTTGGGGCTTACCGCTTCCCGGTTTCCGCATACTTTTCGGATTCATGGGGCTTCTAGGATGTTCAAAGCAGCTTGGTGTCTCGCCTTTCTGAATATTGTATACTTGGATCAAAGCAGTCATAGCATGCTGCGGCATAGCTGTACAAGACGTACAAGGTAGGGGCCTTAATAATTAGAATACGGTTTTGGGGGTTCCTTACGATACTCCCCCGAAACATACTCAAAACAACAAGGCCACTATATTCAGCGAATAGTCTTACTCGACTCTTCAGGTCCCCATATCAGTATCGTCTCCCGTCCATACGAGGGAACCATGCCGGAACACCGTGAACCCTGAAACCCAAGACCTTGAAAGCAAAACTCTAAACGGCTGGAGGTTGCACGGATTGAACTGTCGGGTCTGAAGGTCTAGTTGTAGGGCCTGCTGCAAGCGTGAACGCAAACCCGAAACACAGGACCTCAAATAGATCTCACCTCGGAATCAGCGGCGGTCATAACGCGATACAAACTAGTGAACAGCAGAGCATCAGCGCTGATGGACAAAATCTGGCAGCACATCATACAGGTAACCCTACCATATGACGAGCTACTGCAATCCATAACCTGCATGTTGCAGTACATGCACATTGCCATGCATGATGAAGCGCCGAATGCACGCATGGATATACACAAGAAACCACGTACATGCACGCACATAGGTGCGTGCAAGCTATATTTACATGCATGTGCATTGTTTGCATATGTACAGGCCTATACATACATGTGTATATATATATATATATATATGTGTGTGTACACACATGGATAGATAGCCAGATAGATAGGTAGATGCAGGTAGGCAGATAGTTAGATAGATAGATAGATAGATAGATAGCTATATTATGTAGATAGATAGATAGATACAGGAAGCTAGCCAGATACATAGATGGTAGATACAGATAGGTAGACAGATAGATGAATAGATAGATACAGGTAGATAGGTATATACATAGATATGCAGAAGTGTTCCCGCAGATGCACGTATGTAAACATGTATGTGTGCACACATGTCGCCCGCACGTGCTTGTGTGCTAGCATAGACAGGTGAAGTAAACGACACAGCTATGAACGACACATGTACAGTGTGGGTAGCTTTTGGGCCATAAAGCCGTGCATGAGCCGATCAGCCAATCAGCCGATCAATCCTAAACTGAACTCCAATTCCTAAACCCTTAAACCCCTGAACCCGACCAGCCGATCAGCCGATCGGCTGATCGGCTGAGCGACTGATGCGCAGTTTGGAAACCCACTTTGCGAGCACAATGCACATGTATACGTGCGTGAATACCTGCATGTAGAACTGCGTGCTATCTATACTAGGCCACTCATTGAACCAATCTTTGGCTGCTCCCTTATCTAGAAAGCCTGCAATTCTGAAGACGCAGATGCCTCTCGATGGAGGGCACTCCAACTGCACAGGTACAGGATCGCAGCACGACGCCTTGCCTTCAGACTTTTCAGGTTTAGCTAAAGGCATAGTCCCAAAGAAGGCTCTCAGTACAAGAGGCTCGTTGAGGGGTGCAGATTCAGTATAGTTATATAATAATTAACAGCACCCTGTGGCAGCAGCAGTATACTCCACAGCTTATCTTTTGAGAGGTGGGTCCGACTGAAAAAACCTCGCAGAAACAGAACAGGCCTAGGCAAATTCTGTCACGGCAGCAACCGGACACATAACTCCTTAGCAAAACACATGGCAGCAGTGGCACTTGAGAGGGCATCATCATCAACATCACCAGCAGAACAAACAACATTGGGCATTACTTGCCATTTGCTCATCACCACAACAAGCATTATTGCCCTGACTTGCAAGCATCACGGTCATCACTATCTTATCACCAGCATCATGTAAGGCTTATTCAGATAGATGACACTGTCGCGGATGCAGCACACATGACACTGAGCATGCAAAAGGGTGCTTTGCTTTCCTCAAACATGTTCACCATGATGGACTTTAAATTGAAGGTTCAAGAAACCATGGCATCATGCTCCCATCTTCCGTGCATTCTCCAACTCTTCGGTCTGCTTGTCAGGCTCCGCGAGAACCCTAACCCCTAGACCCTCAGCCCTTGATGTCCAGGGTCTAGTGTTTAGGTGCCAAACCTTACGAGGCAAGCCGTATCGCAAATCTTGGGCCAGAAAAGCCTAAAAAACTCACAAAGCCTAATCTCCACGTACCCCGAAAGCCTGAAGCTCAAAGAATCCAGAAACCCACAAAACCCCCACTATTTGGACCGTGCACCCTGAATCGTCCATAGGGCTCAGGGTTTCAAGTTCGGCTCGAGCAGCCTACGCCACCCCAACTCCCTAAAGTCCAACCCCTAAACCCGAACATCCGAATCCCCACCACCCTACCCAGAGGCCCCATAGTAGTTCCTTTTTGGGATTACCTTATAGTATTCTACATACGAACCCCAAAAACGAACTACTTTGGGGCCTTTGGGTACACCAACTCCCCAAACTCTAAACGCCCCCAAACCTCCTCGACCCCTACAGTAGCCTGTTAGAGTATTTAGCTGTAATCTTACACATCCCCTAAGATCCCTATGCGGATCCCTCTCCGGAAGCAATTAGGCTCTTTTTAAGGCATAATCCCCCCCCTAATACGCATTATAAGTGTAGCTACCCTACTCATAACCCTACGTATAACCACCCATAAAGCTTCAAACTTTAAGGCATCCCCTTAAGATCCCTACAAGGATCCCTCTCTGGAAGCCATTAGGATCCCTTTAAAGCCTGCTCAATGCTCTTGAACCGGAGCTCGGCCCATCTGATGACCCCTCGGCTCCTTGAACGGACACTGCATGCGTGTCTAGTCTTCGTGACAAATCGGCTCTAACAGGGAGTCATAGTAGGAGCCTATTGCAGGATCTTTTTTTCAAGGAATTCGTAATGGGCTTATATTATAGGCTCTTATAGGGATTCATTACAGGATCTTATGTATGCTCTTATAGGGATGCATTTAAAAAGGTATGAAAGGGTCTGAGAAGGGTCGATTTCTAAATGCGTTCATAAGATGCTGCGAAGGCTTTACGAAAGGGCCTTCCGAATTTTGTCAAGGGTTTTGGGGTATAGTATGATAAAGTATGTAGTATACTGAAATCAAAATTAATCAGGAACCCTAAAAACAAGTAATACTAACTACTTAGGTTTCGATTTTGGACGTCTGCATCTAACAAGCAATGTCAGGTCATGACTGGATGAAACTTGACGACTCCTAGACCCTAAGCCTGGTGACCAGGTATGCTGTGCATATAGTTACTTACCAGGATTATACCCCCAAATACAGAAGTCGGAACAAGTTCTTATACTCTAAACTCCAAACACTATAAGCCCTAAGCCCTCACCAGACCCTTAACCTTGCAGCAAAGACCCCGAAACCCTAAACCATAAAGCTGAGAGCTGATCCCAGCCAGGGCAGCTGCACCATGAACTTCGCAGGACCTAGGCGTGAGGCTGAGGAAAAGCACTCTGCTAGGCTCGTTCTTGAGGGTTCTGGGCCATGAGGCTATAAAGTTCAAGAATGTTCGAGGCATGTTATATAGGCTTTAGGAAAACTTAAGGTTTAGGCTTTCGGAAGAGATGCTACTTGTTTGAGGTTCCATACTCTTAGGTTCATATTCTACAAAAACAGCATCTCTCTACATTAAACTTCTATGACAAAACGTATGAGGAGTCCCAGAGAACACCCAGCCTAAACCACACAAGACCGGTCCCTTGTAGCAGCGAAAAACCCTAATGCTCAAATCCCACAACCTAAACTCCAAACCCTAATTTAAAGTAAAGCAACCCTAAACCCTCAGGGTTAGACACTATACACCCTAAAACCTGCGATGCCGGGGCGGTGGCGCACCAGATGGCTGCAACAGAGCAGCATGCTCGAGCGATGGCATAGACCTATCGAAAACGCTACACATTCCTTCAAGAGGTTGAAAAGCCCTTAAACTCTAAACCTGCAAAACCCTACCTACTTCAGCGGGATGCTATACGGTTGGAGTGTTTTGGATGGGATGGACCTCTCGACCGCCCTCAAGGGTTCCTTGAAGGGATCTATCATAGCTCCACTTAACTACAAGAGTTGAGGTTTTGGATTTTACGTCCCATCAAAGAGGTCTACGACAGTCAACTACTGTAAGGGTCAGTACAAGGGATCCTGTAAAGGATACCATGGGGTTCGGAGGGTTGTAGGGCGTTTCCGGGACTTGAGGCTTACGGATTGAAGGGTTCACGGTATCTAGGCCCCTAGTATCTATAAGTTTGTTCAGGGTTGATAATAGGTCTACCCTATGGGTCCATGTGCCTGCACTTTGAGGGCCCTTTCCAATGAGCACCACAAGGGCTCAGGGCTTGTGGGATCTGGGTCCGAGTACCCATATGACGTACCTTTAGGGCCTAAGAACTGCAAATATGGGTACAGTCACCCTTAGTGAAAGAAAAGGTCGGGTGTCGTAGGGCCGTGGTTTTAGGTTTCGCAGAGTACGGGTCCACGGAAAAGTTTTCAGGGTTCGTGTTTGTATTGACGGTCCGTCGTCTCGCCCTAAACCCTCAGTTGAAGGGATCTGTTGCAGGGGCGAAAGGTGTGAGAGAGGTTGTGGGTAGATGTCTCGCGGACATCTCGATGTGTTGGCTTTCTTCGTGAGCAAAACCCATGCAGCTTCTGGAACCCGAAGGATGGCTCGCTCCTGGGCCACATCGGACTTCAAATTAGGATCAGTGGTAGTTAGTAGCATGAACCTTGGTGTTCGCATTGGTATAGCATTAGTATCACTATTGGTATGAGCATTTATAAGAATACTAGTGCCATCGACTTCGCGGCGTGGCACGGGCTTCAACTAAATTGGACTAGGTCGACAGTGCAGGATTCAGGGCACTACTTGAGAGACCTTGCCGTCAAACTGTAAGCCGGCTTGTGGAATGACATTTTGTGTGTGTGTGTGTACATATGTATACATGTATATGTATACATATATATATATATACTACGCACTGGTAACTGTATCTGTTTGTATTACGCACATGAGTATATATGTATACGGATCCATCCATCTATCCATCAATCCATCCATCCATCCATCCCTGCATCCATCCATCCATCCATCCATGCATGCATGCATGCGTGCATGCAGAGGTTCACACATATATACAGATACATGCATGCATACATACAAACATTCTGATGCATGTATACAGTGTTATTCGTTTGTACATCGCATATCGATTACTCCAAGGGATATACTATACAATAGTTCGCATACTTTTGGGTACTGACAGCAGTGCCAGCAATTTCCATCAGCCGTGAGAAACATGGGATGTACCGTAGCATTTCAGCTCTTCTTCAGGCTCGCTGCTTCCGTGCAACTCTTTGGACAGCAATCTGACGCAACACATGAAGCCCTGAATTCGTTTAGGCTGTGGGGTGCGGGCCAGGTGTGGGTTGTACGGTCTCCTGAGTTCTAAACCCTCATGGTTATTGTTAAACCCCGAGTGCGTATTCGACTACACTTCAATGATTCAAGGCCGTGCCTAGGAAATCAGCAGAGCCCAACGTGACGAGATTGCATCAGCACTTACCAGGAACATGTTGCCCTACAATGTACGCCGCTACAGCCGCTGAACATTTTATAGGAACCCCAACGTCTAAGAAATCCTACACAAATCTGAAGTACAAGACCTAGAAATCCATTTCATACACCCTATCCTAAATCCCATGCCCTAGACCCTACACTTCAAAACACTCCCGAAGATGATTCCAGGGCCCCGGACACTGAAACAAGGTCGCTCTCACGAGGTTCGGCGATGCCCTGCACGCACACCATGCAAAGGGTTCAGGGTTTACGGCGAGCGTACTACCCATATCAAGGACCTGATACTTATACTGCATACCACCGCCTACGTATCATGGCTCTTCGTATGCATCAGCCCATGTAATTTTCATTTTTGACTTTGCTACCACCACTACTACCACTACGGGATTGCTGACTTGTGGACAACTTACAGCGCTCATGAGTTGTGTTTGCAACGGCAGGTACGAACCATGAGTTAATGGCAGTGTTGGGGAGACGACTGGGAACGATGCCGGATATGAAGACGAAGCTCGAGACAAACAACACTTCCGTCGCCAGCACCTTCTGAAGCTGACGGTGAAATAGTGATTATTTCAGTGCTTCCGCGGCTGATGGTCATGATGAACAGGAAGAAGAAAATAATGATGATGATGCCCGTGCTAGCGGTGATGATGAGGATAATGACGATGACGGGGAACAGGAAAATGGTAGCGGCCGGAGACGAGGAAGGGAGGAGAGGAGGACCAGGACGACGACGACAAAGACACGGGCAGCGACGGCGACGACGAACACGTGGACAGTGGAGATGATTACGATGGTGATGTTCGGCATGATGGTGCAATGATGGTCGTAGTGGCGACGATAATTGGTGATCTTAGCTGGTGAAGCGCCTGTTGTGACGGCGACTACACGCCTAGTGGACATCAGTCAGAAGTTGTCTTGAGAAGGCATCGTCATCGTCGATGTCGTCAGTTCCAGTCTTGACGACCACGAGCTACACATCATCTCTGACTGCGTTGCTACATGCAAACAGCCGGTTTGGGGTCGGAAAACGGCCCAAGCAGCCTGTTCCTGAGCTCCTGAAGATGCAACCGTGAGCCAGAAGATGATCAGGACTACGACTAGCAGGGTGCTGCTACTGTCGTCAATGCTAATAACGATGCTGATGATGGGGGAAGAGACCTATTGCCACCAAGACTGAGGCACCACTACCAGCCCAAGCGCAACAAGATCATCTAAGTTGGCACGATGGTTAGTATGCATATCACCATGTGTACCTACGGATTCTCACATTCTCGATTTACATTCCAGACAGAATGCCTGCAGCAGCAGGCCGTACAGCCCGGGTATGCCAGAGCTCGAACCTCAGACGGGACGGGTTTAGGTAGAGAGTTTGGGGTTTAGGTAATCAAGAAGATTAGAAAATCGTACCTACCGTGCTTTTTCGAGGGGGCTTTCTATCTTCAAATATACTGGGCAGCAGCACGACTTGTTCAGGACACTTTGTTTTGGGCAGGGCCGGCACGGGGGTGTTTGACAGGTGTAAACTCCGGCTGTTGATTATAATCATACCAACTACATAATCCTAACACTGGTAAAATAATGAAGCTCACACTCGTGCGCCCAGACAAGCAGAGACACGACCTTGCATTCGTGGCGGCTCGTGTGTTCGGTCGGTTCACATGTTCACGGCTCAGGGCTTCAGAGTTTGATGGTCCTAGGGCTTAGAGCTGGGGTATGAATCTGCGTGATTTCAGGGTTGCAAGGTCTCTGGAGCTACATTACCTGAAGTTGGACTGGCTGTATGATTTCTGGGTAATTATAGAATTGTAGGGTGGAGGAGTTGAGTACAGTGGATTCGGGATGGCATCCACATGTGGCAAGGATCCGACCCGCTTTTTTGCTCCGCCTTGCTCGTGCGATCAGCCGACGCAGTGAAGGGAGGGTTCAGTTTAGAGGGGGCCTGAGGGCCTGCGGCCTGAATCGTCACTATGGGTTTGGGGATATTATAGAACAAATAGTTCAGCAGGGCCATATAGGGACTAGAAGGGACTTCTATGTCTAATTATTCCGACCCCTGTCTTAGAGTTTTTTTGAAGGTTTGGGGAGCTTGAGGGTTCAAGCTGCTTTGGGGCTCTTCGAGGCATGAGGCCTTAGGCCTTCGACTTTAGAACGAGGCAGGGCTGCAGAGCAGAGGCACCGTGAGGTGAGCCAAAAAACTGCCCACTTACGGCCTTACGGCTCATGCATGCGGAGAGACACCTCTGGCTTCCGGGCTCCTCAAAAGCTTGCGACAATCAACGTATGTGAAACTGCACCTGACCGGCTTGAAAGGCTCTTTATGGAGAAGTGCCTCTGCCCGTTCTGCAATGTCGCAAGTCGCAAACCACCTCGAGCAAACACTACCCGATGCTGCAGTGTAAAGCCACAGTCGCATGCTCGCAAACATCCATGCTCAGAGGCGACGCTGGCTGCTAGCTCTTCAGCAGAACACCTCAAAGGCAAGGCTCTTCAGAGAGGGCGCAAAGCGCTTTGGCAGAAGCAACAACGGCATTGACGGAGGAAGATACCGGCGAAGCTGAAATTAGAAGAGACCTGCATGATAGCTGGGCCTCAGTACCTCTTTGCTACCAAGAAGCCCATAAGCCCCTTGGACCCCCCCGCCCGAAATGCTTCACAGCCACTTGGGTTGCAAGCAGAAAAAAGAAAATTTTTCTAAAAGAGAGCCCGGAAGCATAGGCAGCAAATTATCACGTACAAGCCGACACTGCCCAAAGCGGGCCGGATGTCAATGCCTTGGCTCACTGTCGGTGGCAAAGAGATAGACTCGCCAATTCTAGGAGCTTACAACAGGCTGGATTTCTAAAAGTTTAGGGTTTAGGGTTTAGGGTTTAGAAGGGCTTTATGGAGGCCTTCGGGTTGTTTAAAGGTTGAATATTATACGGCCTTTGACAACTGGAATAGACTTGGTGAGTACAGCACTATGATGGCAGAGTCATGTAATTAGGGACGATACTGGGAGACCACTGTGAATTATGCAGACACCCCTATCAAGCCCCTGGGATTTAGGGCGACGGGATCCAAGGATGTGCAAGCTTTGAGGGTCACGGTTTTAGTCTTGTGTGGGGTACAACACACCCACACACCCCTCTGGGCGCCTTTGTCCGCTCTATCGCTTCACGTCCCGATTGCTTTCAAGCCGGAAAGCCCAGGGGTTTCGGGCTCAGGGCGTAACGCTCTAAACATATGCTCCCTTCAAAGCACAGCTAAGCTTCGTCTTGCAAGCGCCACACCGCGGCGGAGAAGTTGTCCATGTCGGTGCCATCCCGCCTTTTTGATAGCTTTAGGCTTTGTGGTTCAGGGCCTTGGCTTTAGCAGGGTGTAGGGTAATGTTGTGGGGGTTAAGTTCCAGAGTTTGTGGAGGTTCTTCGCTCGAAAAAAAAGGAATCAGAAACTCTGAAACACTGCCGCGTAGAATCCTGATCATTAGCAGTCTCAACTGGTGTTGCGAGCCGCACGTTGTACAGCATGCGAGCAAGATGAGGACTCTATTTTCCCGGGAAGCATGACTGTGGCTGCGACGACTGTACTGACAGTGATCATGTCCATTAACGTTGCTGTTAGTCTCACGAAGAGTGCCGCTGTCCGTGTGTGGTTTTCTTTACAGATTAGGCACCCGTCCCTGATGCCAACATCTGCAACCATGCTGCCAACAGTGCGGACAGGGCTGCCACAGTCAAGGCAATGCTGATGGACACAGCTATCGTCAGCTTCAGGTGCCTCATTAGCGTTGTGAGGTGGGCATGTTGTCCTTTCGGGTTCTTACGGGCGGAGTTGCGCGGCTAAGAGTTTCCGGCCACCCCTGGCTGGCGGCTTCATCATTGAACGGCAAGTGGCATCTGGGGAACCCTGACACAGACTAAGTCAGAAATTTCTGGAGGTTTATCATGCATTGTCGGGTGGCGTGTGGAGCGAATCAAGCGGTGTTTGGTCATCGACAACCCAACTTGGTTCAACTTCTTTCATCACATGCCTGCCGGCAGTTGCAGCGCCCTGAACCGAAAGATCCTAAATCCCTGTAAAACCTTGAACGCGTGTTTGGCCTCAAAGCCCTGATGTCTGAATATTCAGTGGGTCATATTCCACAGGGCGCCTCTTCAAAAACATCTAGAAGGATGTATGTCGACGTATCCCTGCCAGGTCTGTCCCTACCAAAGACACGCAGAGTGCAAAACCTCCTGAAAGTGCTCAGAAAAGCAGCTCGTCCAGCGCGATCGGCAAAATGCCAAAAACAAACCTCCGCACAGGCTACGATATGGGCCTTGATGACTAGAATAAGTTGTGTGTGTGTGTGTCTATGCCTGTGTGCGTGTGTGTAGGTTGCTGTCTCTTGGGGGTATAGTACTGCACTTTCCATGCAGGAACATCAGGGCTTTACAAAGCCTTACGGCTTTGGGCTTCCAGGTGCGAGGTTGTGTGGCTCAGTGTTCGTGGAGATTAGGAGATGTCCGTCCACTCCGAAAGCAGCACAAACTGATCATAAGCCAGAAGCAGGATAAGAAACTCAACAAGCACCAAGCGCTTGGAAGCACTCAAAACCATCCCTAAAAATCGTAAGGCGAGGATTTAATAACGACGAGGACTCCTTCCCTTGGGGTAAAAAGCGGGTTTTCATGTCTAAAGATCTGGGCTCAGGGTTTGGGGCGAGTACGGTTTCGGTGGACAAAGATCTGCATGTCTCAGCCGTACACAGTCACATCCAGGCGCCTGGTCCAGAGTCTAGACCCCAAACCCTAACGTAGGGCCTTAAATACTCTTTCTATCTATGTATCTATCTATTATATAATTATATATATATATATATATATATATATAAAGGAACCCCCAAAATGGTATGTAGGGGCCCGGAAAGTTGCATTGCAGCGGCCTAGCGTCGAGCTTCAAGGCGGGTCAGGGAACTTGGGCTAAGCCCGAAACCTGAATCGGACGCCATAACTTAACCTTGAAGAACCTACCTTTTTGAGGACTTATATGAAGAAAATAGGGAACCCTAAAAAGGTAGGTTATTCAGGAATCGGACACCATAATATGGAAACCTGATTAAGAATCCCTAGTTCTTTGTTAGGGTCCTTAATATGAATCCTATTATATGGGGGTTATAGGGCGAGGGTTGCTTAATCAGGTTCCTACATTAACCCCTAACCCCAAAATATGAAGCTTACATCCTGAACCCCAAAGCCTACATGAAGAATTCAAAGCCAGACAACCCAAAACTGAGTGCGCTGAACCTTCCAGATGAACTTCGGCTATGGGATTTCAGCACTGGGCTGCGTCAAACTGTTCTGACTACACCGTCAAGCGAATTGTGGGTGCATAGAGTCCAGGTGGAGACAGTTTTGTTGTCTGGGATTGGGGGATGATAGCTTATGTAGGGTTTTGAACTTAGGGACATGGGCTCAGGGCTGGAGATTACACTGAACGTTTGATAGCCCCGGTACGACAATCCATCGCCCCCTGAAAACGACCAACAAAGTTATGCGGTCGAAAGGCATCATCTTACTCGTCGCAAGGCTCGTCCTCATCCTCGGGGCATGCCACATGAAGAGCACTGCATCCCAACTGCTGGTCACCACTCACTACAGGCTCTAAATGAAAAAACCCTAGAAACCTTCCAAGCCCGAACCAATCGAGCCAAAAGACTCCCAAACCCAACCGCTGAGCAAAGAAGGCTTCCTGTGTGAACTTCGGAAAGCCAGGAAGACCGTGGAGGTCTACTTAGTCGACTGGGTCTCTGGGCATCTGCTGTACTCCTAAGATGCTGGATTGGTGGCTCATGGAAACGCCGATTAAAGCAAACTGATGATGCCTTTACGTGCGCATGGGCATCAGGGGGGTCCAACGTTTGAGGACGTCGGGAGAAGGATTCTCGCCTAATCTAGGGTGCTGAAGACTGACTTTGAGGGTCTTTGGGTGCATTTTCCACTCGAAATCCGTCTTCGGGTCCGAATCGAACCGGGATTCCACGAAGAAAAGGTAATACCATGTAATACTTTAAGCACATGAAGGTATGGCTTTTGCGGTCAAGGAAGACAAGCCCTTGCACGCTTACCTGCCTTGGCGTATGAAAGAGCAGGTCTTGTGTTTCAACGAGTCGGTCCGCAGAACACATCTAGGGGCCAGGATATCAGGGGAAGTACAGACTTTAATCCCGAACCCAAACCCCATTGTGAAATCATATAGAAACCCATGGAGGCCTTTGCTAGGAGCCAAATTATGCGAAATGCTCAGCCTCCGCAATCCCGTTCGCAGGCCGAGCCACCACGCGCAAAGGGCGCGCTCTGCCGCAAGCTCCTCCGGGGGTTAGGAGGTATGGAGTCTAGCGGTTAAGGCCAGTGTTGAGAGCTGCAATTGCAGGGCAAGTACCCAACTCTGGGGATTAAGGTAGATTTCTTGCAATGCAAGATTTCTCGATCGAGCATGTTACTACATCAACAATACTGCTCTTTGCACTTCTGTCTGCTCGTCTCCCTGAAGCTTGTCCTCAGGGAAAGAGTGGCACGGGCCTGCGTCAAAATCCTTGATCAACAAAAGCCCCCTCCCTGCTTCATGATTTGGATTTGTTAAGACCCCGTAAAAAGGCGAGTTTTGTAGTCAGGGTCCACAGTATGAGGAGTGTTCGCCAGAGCACACCTCAGAATCAGTTGGGCCCAAGAACTAAACTCAACCTGAACCGCAACCTCACTGCAACCCAAGGCAGCCCCCCACCTACCCTCCCTTCCATCACCCCGGGTGTTCCGTCGACTTCTCACTAGGACTGGCGGCGGCAGGTGGAGACGTTGGTCCCGCCTGCCCAACTCAGAAACAGCATGGGATTACGTGGCGTACAACACTATTCCCCGATAGTCACTACCTGGATCCCAAAAGTATGTAGAATAATAGCCTTTTATAGGTTTTGGGCCATTATTTTACCTACTTTTGAGGGTCTAGGTATACAGGAGTATAGTAAGTGTATCATGTACCTCGGCTTCTGTTCGACTCATGAAGGCCCCTGGTTACCATTCTGCCTTGGCGCTTTCACGGGCTCGGGATGTCTCGGGTACGGGGAGCGTGAGGAAAGCGTTATGCCTAGAGATTATGTTCCTTTGGATTAAAACGAAGTTAAATCATGGGCACTGGTTGCAATGCATTGCTGCGCTGAGCTGTTGGCAGTTGTGCACGGACCCTGTTCTGAAAGAACATTACTCCCCGAAGCCTTCGGGAGTACAAGGTTGGAAGCCGATCCATTTAATTTGCGGTTTGTTTTCGGCGTGAACAACGCAAAGAGAGGGGGAACAGGTTTCAGCCCAAGCGCCGAAGTCCACAACAGTAGACCTGACAGCAAACTCTGAAAAAGGATAACAGTAACACCACATCGCATCATAAAGTGTGAGGCAACGGAGCATGACGCGGTGTGTTAAAACATAGTGCCGTGTGACGGTACGCTCTTTGGCTGCGAGACGTCCAAACTTCCGTCGACCTATCCACTCACAACTCTGCTTTCATATGTATATATATATATATATATATATATATATATATGTGTGTGTGTGTGTGTGTGTGTGTGTGGTGTGTGTGTGTCTGTGTGTCTGTGTGCGTGTCTGTGTGTGTCTGTGTGTGTGTCTGTGTGTGTGTCTGTGTGTGTGTCTGTGTGTGTCTGTGTGTGTGTGTGTGTGTGTGTGTGTGTGTCTGTGCGCGTCTGTGTGTGTAGTGTGTGTCTGTGTGCGTCTGTGTGTGTAGTGTGTGTCTGTGTATGTGAGTGTATATATATATGTATATGTAAGTATATATGTATGTATTCAGTGTACTCATTCACCATGCCGGCATGGCTGTTGTAACACACTCCGTCTGTATGCGCACGTGTTAGTCCATCCATCCATCCATCCATCCATGCATACAGACAGACAGGAATACATGCGTACGGTACGTCCTATAGGACAACACGCGAAGGAGTCCGAACATGTTTACAACTTTGCCCCGAGTAAAACTGGATACAGAGCGAAAGGGAATTCAACTAACATAATATACGAAATCCAAAACCCTCGACCCAAGAAATGAGGGTGTCAATATCGCCTGCCATCTTGCGGACGGCAGACCACGGACATGGACCGTAGATCCTTGCAGCGACGGAGGCGTGAGAAATGTGGTGTGTAAGGAAGTCTGAAGCACCCACCTCGGCTTGAGGAATCAGGTTGAAAGCATATTGGCATTGCACAGGGTTGTCATAAAATCAGTGATCCTGATATTATGGATAACTCCATCGCAGACTTCTCAGTGTACCACCCCACAGAGCAGGAACTCCAAATAGTCGAAACAAACTTCGACAGAGTTTGGAGACCAAGAGCTCTTAGTTGCAATTGCAGAGCTTCAGCCTACCCAAAGGCTCCAAAGTAGTTCCTTCTTGGGATTACCTTATAGGATTCTAAATACTACCCCCAAAAAGGAACTACTATGGAGCCTCTAGGTAAACTGAGAATGCTACAGTATGGTTTAGGTCATAGTGCTTCGGCTCGATACTGTATCGACAGGAATCATAGTCACAAGTGAGCTAAGGGACCGACACTCGGGGCTCATACTCCTAGGAAGCCCTCAAACCCTACACCGAGCATACTGTCGACGTGAAGACCGGTGGACTCGGTGTGTGTAGCTTTAAGCAGAGTTGCAGCACGGTCTGCACATCTGAAGAGCATCTTTCGCCAAGTTCCAAAAAACATCAAAGGCCAGCGCCCTCAAAACGGTTGAAGTTTCAAAGCCTTCAGCCCATCTGGCGTGCCAAAGCACCATCGCGAAGCACTTGCACTGGCTCCTGGCCCGAAACAAGTAACCCTAAACCCTATAAACCCAAAACCCTAAACCCTAAACACTAAGACAAGAATGGGAAAGGCCCGATGAAGTTGTGGCTCAGTCCCTGGAGGCTTGTTATACCCAAAGGCTCCAAAGTAGTTCCTTTTTGGGATTACCTTATAGGATTCTAAATACTACATAACCCCCAAAAAAGGAACTACTATGGAGCCTCTAGGTAAGCTTGGGTAGTTTTAATTTCGGGTATTGGGTTCAAGGGCTGCGGGGATTTACAATGTTGTGGCTGAAAGGGTGTAGATTCAAAGCTGTAAGCCTTTCACTTGTGGACAGGTGATGAACCGGCTCAGCTCAGAGACAGCATGTATTTAGAGTTTAAATTGGACGGTGCAGGCCGAAGCAACGTCACGACGGTGAACTGCTGTGTTTGACGTGAAAGCAACCAGAAACGCCTCGACCCCGCTGCAATCGCGACTGCAAACGCCTCCGAGCTACTCTCTCTATTCTTCTTTCTTGCTACTGATTTTGGGTGAGTTGGAAACCGACGAGTCAGGCATTTCGCCCTGCCATCGATAAGGTGACGTTTAACGTTCGAAAATCCGAGGTATAGATAGACTTACACGGAAGGAGGGAGGGGGGGGAGGGAGGGAGGGAGACAGGGAGAGAGGGGGAGGGAAGGAGGGGGACAGAGGGAGCGAGAAAGTTACATTTGCCTGTATGCAACTAACTACGATCAGAGTTTCTGGCACAATAAGCCGCGAAAGCGC